TTCAACTATATTTTCCTCCAGAGTGCCTCTCTTCATCAGTGGTATCATCAGCAGTGACATGGCAGGGGCTAGAGACCTGGGCATCATTTCACAACTGCAGAATCTCTATCTCCCTCAACCTGTCATCATCTTAGAACCCATACAACTGAGTTGCCTCATGTTGAGCCTCCTACTCTTTCTTCCCTGCAGGAGACTCCCATCTGGTGTCCATGGCTATCCCTTGTCCCCTGTGATCTCCTCCACAGTGTAGCAAGGGATCTTTTCAGAGCTCAGTCTGATTGTGTGACCCTCCTTCGTTAAATGACTTTAGCGGCTTGGATAAAGATCATAGTCCTTAAAACTCACAAGCCGCACAGGTAACCTCCACTCTATTATTTCAGACTTCCTTAGCTTGCTGTCTTTCTAGCTCTGTGGACCTGGTTTATCCTATCTTGCCACATGGTATGTTGAAGGGCATCCTCTTGTGAATTGTTCTTCATTTTCTATTCCTTTGAGCTTGTTTATTAGCAAAGCTTCCTCTTACTGCTTATGCTTTACCTCCCATTGCATCACAGTTTTCCTTAAAACTTAGCTCAGGTATAATTGTTACATATATTCATTTGTTTGTTTGCTTACATATTCATTCATTTACTCATATACTCTGTATGTATTGGTCTGTTATTTAATTTGAGTAATTAGTTAAATCATATCAAACACTTATCTAATAATTGAGTTAGGTAATAAAGAAATTAGTTTTTATGTTAGTTTTACTTGGAAAGACAAAGATTTTTGAATTTTCTTGGAGTTCCATTGCACAGAGCTACGAACTTTGCCAGACTAGAAAACCCACAGAGGACATTAAAAGTACACACTTGATTTTTGTTACCTAGTTTCCCTGACTCCCTACCAAAGAGTATCTGTTGGAATTTTGGAAAAATTTGAAGAAAATTATGTAATAAAAGAAGCTTGAAATCACATTCTTTCATTTTTAAAAGAAGGGTGAGATCAAAATAATTTATCTGGAATTTGTTCTCATTTTAAGTTTATAATATTAAAGGAAAATGATTTATCCTCCTCACTGCTTTGAAAATTTAGTTTAAGTAGATATTGTGTGTAATGATTAGAATTAGGCTTAGAAAAAATGGTGACCCTGGCACATTTGAAGATTTTGTTTTCTTTAATATCTATTTCAATGCTATATATATTTTCTGGAGCAATGCAACTATGAATCATGGAAGAAAATTAAATTGATTCTGTATCCTTAAACCCTACAATTTGGCAGTGAGAATTTTTTTCCCCTAAAATATGACTCATTTACAAAGAGACCGAACATGGAAAAGACCTAAGTGCTGTCAGAAATCTTGTGGGTGGGGGTGGGGGTGGGGTGGGTATTTGGATCTGCTAATAATTACAAAATTGTAAAATTAATATCAGAATATGATAGGAAAGATGCGGTTGTAAATGAAACACGGACACTCATGTTTTAAAAAAAATCTCAGAATATAGAAAAAGCTTATGATTTTTCCTATTTTAGGGTACTTTTCTTGTTTTAGTATACCCTAGTATGAGTCAACCAATGTTTTATTCCTTGCTCCTCTTGGAAATTGTTGTGCACTTCCCTGCTAACCTTTATTTTCCTGATTTTTCGCCCAAAATGTGTCTCTCTGAATTTTGTCCAGTTTCTGTTGGAGTTTTGCCTTGGGATCCCCCAGGTTGGATGTGGTTATGGTTTTCTTTATTTTGTTACTAAGCATGTTTCCTCTCACTTCTAAAATAATCTTTGAATTTCTTTCTGCAGCTAAGATTTCAGAGATGCATCTCATTGTGAGTTTAAAGAAGACATATCCCACAACACTCTCATATTGTGGGAAATGCTTATTATTCTTACATTGCATTTCCTCCCCAAACAGATAAGCAGTTGTCATGAAACACACTGAGACCATGTTTGTATGTTCAGCATAGTCCAGTGTAAATGTGGAAAGGGCTTAAATCAGAATGAGGATGATGGGACCTTTGGTTCCCAATGCACTAAAGATGGCTATTAAACTTATAGAGTAACATTCTGCAAAACAATGTGTTCTTGTGGTTTTGGACTTTAGTCATTGAGTCTGAAGAAAAGAAATACTCACTGATTGAATTCCTAACATCTGCCAGACATCTTCACCTGTGACTGCACTTTACTTCTTTTCAAAAGTGAAGTGGGTATTATTATTGTATCTTGTGGTATAAAACCAAGCCTTTGGTAGGCCAAGTGGCTTAGCCAAAAATCCCATAGAAAGTAAAGGGAGGAGCAAAAATTCAGCCCAAGGTCTTTTCCAATTTCAAAATTCATTGTCTTTCCACTTCACTGTGTTGCCTCCCAGGATTTGGGGGATTTGATGACTCTGCCTGAGGTCACATGATGAGTCAGAGGTAAGCTGGGAATAAGTTTGGGGCATCTCCACATTTTTTTAAATCCCATTATAAAAGGATGCATCCTCTATATCAAATACATCCAATCAACCTCCTCAAAGAGGGGAGACAGAATAGCAGCTTTGGCTCTATAATAAAATATTAATTTTCTTAAAAGTCATAAAGCAGATATGACATTTGATTTAACTTTTGGAAAAATCTGAAAGAAAAATAGTTCATTAAATGTGAACTTTGCAGATGACCAACCATTTTGATCAATAGCCAATCTCCTTGGTAACTTTCTTTTGAGGAATTTTATGAACATTCCTTTCCTCTGGGCATTCACAATTGTAAACAGTTTAAAAAGAATCTGGAAAAATGGACCTCTGTGAATCTGATGAGTCATTCTAGAATGGTCAGATCTGATCCCCTCTGAAGCATTTTCTGATAAAGGTTGTTCCCACTGGCTCTGCCAGGTTACTAACTATATAACTTCAGGCAAGTTACTTAACTTTCTGTGCCTTCATTTCCTAATCTGAAAATGGGTATACTGTAAAATCTACATTAAAGAATGGTTTTGAGGATTGATAGATAGAAAGTATTCTGTGTGGAAATGATAAATATGATATAAATAATTGCTGTTTTCTCCCTGCCCCCCCATTACAAGAGCCTGTTGTAAATCATGTTGGATTATCCAGAGAACACATAAAGGTCTTTAAAGGAAAGGAAAGTCATTCTAAGTGGTGGCATTTATAAATAATCTAATTCTGCTCATTGATAGCAGTGACAGAGTTGAAATTTATTTTCAGTTATATCTTATTCCAAAGTGGTGGAAGGAAGGAAATTCAGAGAGAAAAGAGGGATAGAGAGGTCTGAGAAAGCTCTAGGAATGTGGACTTTATTCTTTCTTTTGACTGATCTTTAGAACATGAACTACAGTGTATTACTAAATTTTATACTGTAAACTACACAAACGTAACACAAAGAGATTCTACGTGCTTGCGTGTAGCACGGATAACCATAAGATAAATTTTTCCAATGTTTGATCAACAAAAATATACCTAACAATGTGTTCAATGCTGTAAATACAGAGATGAGTTGGACTTAGTTCATCATCCCAAGGGGATACATAATCCCTGACACTGAAACACTGCCAGTCCAAAGAGCAGATGGTGGGCTTGAAAATTGCTGGTTGCCTTGTATAGAGTATGGAAAAGTTGATTATGAGGCCAATTATTGTCTGGTGAAGTGAAATATTTGAGGATTGGACAAAGGGACTTGAGAAAATTTTGAATTTGAGAAATCATGGAGAAAACATAATAATGTGAAGTATTGAATATGGTATGAAGGAGAAGATGGTGGTTGCTAATAAAAAGTCTAACAATAAAAAATGTTTACTATTACTAATTTTTGCTATTTATACTATTAGAATAGTCACTTCTATTCTGGAAGTGACTGAAAAAGCAGTTTATAAGACAGGAAATGTAAATCTGTGTAAAGGGAGAAAAACAATAATCTAAGATTGAATTTTCCAAGATGACCATTATTATTATTGTTACAGCCAGCAAAGACTATTAGAAGGGATATTTGAAAATATGAGTAGAAAAGCCGGGAATTATAATGTCTCTAAAATTATAGTTAAGATTGTACTGACAAGTGAGTGGGTGACTGTGAAGGCTAGAATATACACACATGAATACCACATGGAATTGAAGCTTTTGGATTTAAGAATGGAGATGTGCTTGGAAACTGAATGAGATATCTGTTAATACTATTGACCATGGCTACTTGTATCCCAACAGAGAAGAAAAAGACAGAAGTTGACAGAGTACTAAATGTCTTTATAGGTGCTAAGTGGTCCAAATTAACCTGATGTTGGCCCCAGGAAACCTAAATAAATATTCAGGGTTTTAAAGATTGTGAAGACATTAGTTCCCCAGTGCTGAGTGAAGATGAATAATTTGCTTCTGTCTGAAAGAGTAGTGCTATTTTACCAATGGTCCAGTTTTTGGAGGGACATGTAAGAAGCAGTGGAGTTAAAAGTGACTCCCCTCTTCTCCCACCCTTAGCAGACAACTGCTTTGGGGATTGAGGGGGAACATTTTACAGCCACATTCCTGGGTTTAACAGTGGCTTTATAAACTGAGTAATCCAAAAGTAGTTCTAGACTTAATGTAAAGAATAACATTCATCAAGATTTACTTAATTCCGAGGATTAATAGATTATCATTAATCAGGCAATTTCAAAAATGTTTTACATGTGTCTAATCCTCTAACATTCTTAGGTGTTTTTCTCTTAAATGTGTTGAATGTGCTTCTAACGTGCAGAATGTTTCTTTAGGAGCTCTGTATTTGTAGAACATTGACTCAGTGTTTCCATGCCAAAATCTTCCTTTGAATTGAAGAATCTGTGGATTTTTTTTATTAATCTAGAGAAACTTAAAACCTTTTTCTATATGTTTTTCAAAGGATTTCATTAAGATTAGAGGGTATGCATGCTTTATTAAGTATTTTATGCTTTGCTATATAAGTTTTAAGTATGAGAAACTTGAGAAAAGAATGAATACTAAATGGAAAGCTATTCTTTGTAAATATGATGAAATATCAATTATTTGTTTCTTTTTCTTTAGGGATATCAGGGAATCTCAGGATCACCAGGTGTTCCAGGACCTCCAGGAATGCAAGTATGTGATCCATTTGTACACAGTTTATAAATCTCACTTTTAGTGAACCAAAGACATGATTAACAGAATTTAATTTTGTGGTTAATTTAGGGCTCTCAAGGACTACCAGGTTACAAAGGAGAACCAGGGAGAGATGGCCAAAAGGTAAATACACATAAATAAAAATGGAGTCAGTAGTTTTGTCATTCAAAATTGAAAAAGAATTACCTATAGTGGCTCCATGTGTAGTGTTGGTGAATTTGTCAGTGGCCATTGGCCAGTAGAGCTCACAGAGGCTTTTATCACTAGATGAATGTCATCAGATGAAGCAAATGTTGGCATTGCCCAGATAGCATGTTCTCTTCCTGTGGTTGAGTTCCCTTTTCAGAGAGGAGTGAAGCACATATCAGTGTAATGTGTTACTGTGTTAGCCTTAGGCAGTCCAATCTTGCATGTCTAGTTCCATTTATCTGGCAAGTGGTCTACTGGCTTAACCTTACCTGACTTCTCCCATAGGTTATTGATGGGTATACACATTTAAATTACTGCCTCTATTTAAAACTCTGAGATTTGCCATGCTTCCCATTGAAGTGCATGTTGTTTAAATCTGTTAGTACCTTCCCATGGGCATAGTCAATGCCTATTGGCCCTGGTAGCTTGTCCATGCTCAAGATACCTATTTGTATTTGTTTGAATTCCTTTGTTGATTGTTAGCTTAATTCCTAGAACACAATCTCATTTTCAGTTTTCAGGGAGGCATTCTGCTATTTGATCCAGATTAAAACCCTATAGTAATCTTCTCATGCCAACTTTGCAAAATGCTTACCTTTGGAAAATAAAGTGCATAGCATGCACATCTCAGAAACACTGATCTAAACTTTACCCATTTTATGTTTTGATGGTTGCATAAAATCACAACTATTTAAAGTGTATCTCTTGAGTCTGATGGATCAACTATTTTCAGGGTATTGGGTTTGGGGCAAGTTATTTAATGTCTTCAAATCTTATTTTCTTTATTGACAAAATGGGAATTTCTTTTTAGGTTTATTGGGAGAATTAAGAAAGTATGGTTACTGGCTTAGGTATTTTTTACTACAAATGATGGTTTTATTGTTCTGTTTTGTTCATCAAGTAACATGATTATAGATGGGATATAGTACAGGTTGGGCTGGCATGGGTTAAAGCAGTAACGAAATCACATAGAAAGATTAGTGACTGAATAAAAAAAAAACAAAAAAAGATGAAATAGGTAAAGGCAAGTTTATAATATGTAGAGAAGTAGAGTAGGTAAAGCAAAAGCAATAGTTGACCTAATTCCCAAAGCAGAAGTATTAAGTCCTGTTGTCCACAGAGGTGACCCTGGTCATCCATGTGTCCTTTTAGCCCCTGAGCAATCTCTACCAGTTTCATTTGATAGAGGAAACTTTAGAGACAGTATAGAGAAGGACAGACAACAGAAATGGAAAGTGTCTTACATATTCATGCTCTGGGGGCGTCATGAAGCAGCTCAACCTCTTTCAAATGAACAGGGATTCCATTCGGAAGTTGAGGATACATATTCTGAGGAACCCAGTTGCAAGCCACCTCTCCTGTTTCTAGTTGAAAGGATCATTGCTCTCTTTACATTCTCACAAATAATCTGATGGGGATGGGGATGTGCTATTTTACCAATGGTCCAGGGGGATGTGATGTAAAAAAATTATGCATGTATCTGGGTATTTATTATGCATGTATCTGATATTTATGAATGAATGAAAAAAAAATGACTTACTTTTTCCTTTAGTGGAGTTTTAGAGATCAAATATATGTATTTATTTGTACATCTTAGAAGGACTTGAGCAAAATTTTTGTAGGAATAAATGTGCCTTATTTAAAAATAAGATAGCAATAATAATTGTACCGTAGCATCTTTAACTGCTCTACTGTTTTGGGTCATTGGTCTAACTTAAATACAGATGCATAAATTTTACAAAATCATATGTTCTACTGGAGAAGAGAAGATAAGATGTGTGTTGATGCAGGGGCCTCTGTTTTCAGACCAGTAATGTTTTCATTCAGATTTGCTTGTTTCATAAGTTCATTGTTGAAATTAAACTCTGATTTGATAGACTGAGAATAAAATCATCATGTGCTACTTCCAGGTTTCCTCCTCATGTTCCATGGGGCTTTTGGGAATTCATTATCCAGAGTTAAATAATTTGCTAAGTTAGTTAAAGACTTTCCCTTTTTTGTTCCTTTATAACATGGTTTCTTGATTTTCAGAAATGGAAAGGTTAAAAAGTGTAACCCTGAGACGTCTCTGTCTTGTGGTAATTTAGGAGATGTTTCCTACCAAGGTATTACACTAGTGGCCATTGGGAGGTTGTTCTACATGATACTGTTCTCCATTAGGATATTTTCCCAGAATCATTTCCATTTTGTGGCTTTTCTCTGAAGATTCTCACAGTACAAGTTTCTACTTGGAGATAATTAACATTAGATGTACATTTTTTTTTATGTCTTTAACTGTTTTTTTTTTCACATATCAGACAATAGAATGTAGATTTTTCAGGAATTTTTCTCCTTGAACTTACAAAGTCAAAAGGAGCACTTATTCAGCAAATGATCTTTAATTGGTAACTTCTTTTATTACAGCTTTAAAGCTGTTTTTTTTTAAAGCTAAAAGATACTTTAAATACTTTTTCATCCTTAAGGATATGTAACATGTTTAAAGTGTGTGGAGAAATATGTTTGTTAAAACTTATATTAAGCTGTGATGGTTAATTGATACGTATTCATGAGTTTTCAGATTGAGCACAGGCAGACTCAATTTTGGAGAGGCAGGAAGTATTGATAATTTATTTTTATTTTTCGTCTATCCAACAAGCTCATTTCTTTTTTTTTTTCTGGGCTTAATAAATAAAATGTTAATTATATCTAAGGTATTATTATTAAATAAATTATTTTATTTTCTTTGTGAGTGTTTTTAACATCAAAGTCTCCCTTTAAAACTTCACCTTCCTGTTGTCCATGCCAGGGTGTCATGTGATGGGGGACCCTGCCCTCCTCAAGCAGGTCTCCTACTCTGGGTTTCTAACACTGAGATACTGAGTGGTTTTCAAGGTGTTTCTGGTATTTAGTCAGTCATAGTCAAGGAGCTCCCAATGTACATTTGAGAGAATAATAATAAAGAGCCAAGTTAAAGGTTTGTTAGGAGATGGGATGATAAAATTTAGTATATTAGTGATATTAGTTATTGAGTGTTTCTGAAGACAAAAAAATAGTTTCTGAAATTAAAGCTAATAATGGTAAATGAGGGAAAAATAGAAACAGCTTAGCAAAGTTGCCTCCTTATTTTACTTTCTCAAAAAAAGATAGTCTACGTATGGAGCTTTCTGATAGCACCACACTACAGACACTAGGGTGTGTGTGTGTGTGTGTGTGTGTGTGTGTGTGTATACATACACATGTGGCAATAGGGGGTTTAAAGCAGTTGCAGGTTATAGGTTGAGCTCTGAATTCAGACTGCTTAGCTCCCAAGTCATGCTTCTTAATCTCTTTAAGTCTGTTTTATCATGTGGACAGTGGAAGCTACAGGGTTACTTTATTACTGGAACCACCATTCTTCTGATGATAATTTTGGAAATATCTTTGATTTATCCTTTATTCTTTCTTTTAAATGTTGAAGTTCCTTGTCTAAAACAATCAGACAGGATTCTCTAAACTTCCTTCCTGTTCTATCAGCACTCTTGCCTGTGTGTGTACCTCCATTCAGCTTTCCTGTCTGTGGACAGGTAAACGGTCCTTGCACAGTCCACAAGCCCTATTGTTCTCCACTACTTGGTGTTATTAGTTAGCCTTCTCTTCTATATCATTAATTTTTTTTTTCTTTTCTAGTTAGATTTTCTCAATAAACCAAAGGGTGACCCATGTGAAACCAAATAAACAGACTCCCCTTTCCTCCCACCACATAACCTCTGTGGCTATTACTCCATATTTTTCTCAATGGAATGTAAGTACCCCAAAATCTTTGCATTTGTTTTCTGTACTTCCTGATCTCTCTTTCTTGCTGTAACCCCTTCTGGTAGGATTTTATCAAAACTGTCTGCTGCATATCTAGATCACCAGTCTCCTAGCTTTGAAATCCAGTGGTCAGTCTTATTTAGTTATCTTTGTCTTGTTATTTTTGTATCTTTGTAGCATTTGACACACACAGTTGACTATCCCCTCCTTTTGGAAGCATTTCTTCTCTTGGCTTTTAGGATGCCACATGCTCTTAGATTTTTCTCCTTGCCCACTTTTTGTGTCTACTTGTTGCTTTTTACTCCTGTATTCACTCTCAAAATGTTGGGAGTTTCCAGGGTTCAGCCCCACTTCCTTCCTCAATAGAATTTATTATGTTGATAAGTATAAACTCATATGAATATAAATCTAGATATTAATTATGTAAAAATAGATATATTTTATTACCATAGTTATAAAATAATTAATACATTGATATAACAATATAAAAATACTAAATATATTGGATAAATACACAAACATACATATATTTATACAATCTGTTTTCTTTTTTCTATTTGTATTGGAGATTGAACCCAGGGGTACTTTACCACTCAACTGCATTTCTAGCCGTTTTTATTTTTTATTTTGAGAGAGAGTCTCACTAACTTTCTAAGACTGGCCTTGAAGTTGAGATCCTCCTTCCTCAGCTTCCTGAGTCACTGGGATAAGAGTTGTGGGCCACCACGCCCAATTCATGATCTGTTTTCTAAAATATTCTGCTTTGTCTGAATCTAGAGAATCCTTAATAGTTGACATTACAACTATTACTTTTATTAAAATTGCTTTTAATAAAAGTAATAGTACCATAATTTCCCTTTTTCAAAGATATTTCCTTCCTCAGAGACTTTTCTCCCAAACAGCACTGGCTTTGTGCTCCATAAATATTCTCCGATATTTGGCTTTGTTGAGCATGTCTCCTGTATATGTGGGACTGATTTTTTTGCAAATTCTGTGGCCACTTTTGCAAAGTGCCGATTATTTCCTGATCTTTCAGTCTTTCTTCTTTTAAGGCTACAAAATGGATTCAGAATCTTAGTTTATTATAAAAGAATGATTAATTCCTTGTTCTGCCTCATTTGTTGGCAGTTATTCCTCTTCTGCCCTGGTTTCTTTTCTCTACT